GTGTGTGTGTGTGTGTCTACACTGGTTTTGATTATACACAAGTCAGCTGCATTTCTAATCTATACTGGCGCAGCACTGATGATCTCAACAAGCACAAAACCTGTCAGGATTTGATAAAATACAGCAGAAGAGTCTGAGTGCTTTTGCCTCAGCTGGATCTATGAAACTGCAAACTCTGTTGTAGAGGTTCAGTCTTTGGTTTGAGTAGAGTTTAAAAGTCTGTAAAACATGATTTGTTACACTACATCTCTCTTCTTTTACTGTAATTAAATTATTTTATTTCTTGGCAGCTTTTTATATCAGGGTGGAATAGATTCACAATGCAGTTTTATAGTTTAGACGCATTCACCAGAGGCTAATAATTTCCACCATATTGGTGCTGGGCAACAATCAATATTGAAATGTAAATGTAGTGTAACCCCAGTTTGGCGAAGTACCACCAGCCACAAGACAATTGCTGTTTTATTGTTGTTGGAGCAGTATTGTCCCCTTTGCCAGGTCAGGTGACCAAGCATTGCTTACAGATTGCTTTCTGTGCCAAAAGTGAATATAGCTCATAAAATACTGGAACAGGTTGTTGCATTTAACTTGAGTATACTGCTACTTAGGCTACTTTGACACAAAGATGAAACACTTAATTCCCTTTCCCTGTTATATATTGTTTCAAAACAGTAGCAGGATGGCTATTATGGACTCATTACAGAAAAAATCAGACCAGACACACTAATGTCAAATGTCATGCCAGAATTGAGGTAACCAAATGACAGTGTGAATTATCGACAGTTTGTAGCTTGTATCTTAAAATGACCTACCTTTTAAATCCTGAAACCTCTGAAAATTCCTACCAATGTAGTCTCTGAGGATTGTACACTGATGTGACATCAAAGATTAGGAGTTGGAAGACACTGCAATGAGACAGTTCTCTGATCCATCCCCAGTTTTGGATTTGGAACATTTCAAAGCAAGAATTTCTGTGATATTCATGTGGATGCTTGTAAGGCAATGATGAATTTTCAGATTCATATGCAAGCTGTGGAATCCAACAGGACAGGTGCAGTTCTAGTTTAGCCAAGGCCCCCTCTGAGACATTTTTCTCAAAACAATCATTCCTCTGTTTTTGGAAGCCACGTGTCTGTTTTCCTACATTGCATAAGGGAGTTGAACCACAGTTCACTGGACCTGGTTTAAACAAGGACTCCCCCAGCTTTCAGTGTTCAAATAAACCTCTCTACTGACTCCTTTTCACTCTTACGGACTGACTGCACATACATGTTTGCTGAATTACACTCACAGTAAATGGACCAGCCTCTCCTTTTTTTATTACCCCCCCCCCCTGCCGCTCTTCAGTCTCTCTTGTGCTTTTCCCCTCCACTGGTCCTGAGAGTGGCCAATAGAGCTAATGTGTTTGGCCCTGGGATAGACGAGGACAAGGACAGTGAGTGAATGAAAAGCAGCTAGAGGGAAAATGATCACCTGACTCAAAAAGAAAAAAGCTGGAATAAGGGTGAGCCAGAGCTTATGTGCATGGAAGATGCACAAAAGATAGAAAAGAGGAGATTAGCCAAGAGAAAAACAACAGGCATGAGAGTGAGAGGAAACATGAAGACAGGTGTGATGACATTAGCGAGCAAAAGCACGGGAAAGGCACATGGACTGACTGAATGAACAACACAAACAAGAGTGAGCGAGACTCAGAGTGAGCGCTGCGCTGATGAATCTTACCAGATGTTGCAGTGCCAGCTGTGTTCGCGCAGCCAGGCGTCACCGGGGCTTCTGCCTCGTAGGGTGCCTGCCGACCATCGCTACCCAGCTGTCCCCACGGCGACGTGGGAGCAGGACCGACAGAGACTGAAACCACACAAGCCTTCCAGAGCGGAACAAACAGGGTTTACAGAGCTGCTGAGCAGCCAAGCTCCCATTCCCTGCACCACGTTAGTGGCTCACTCGCTTTCACAGGGTTTGTGGGCCGGAAAATATGGGTTTATGTGTGCACATATAACATTTGGCAGCAGGGAGGCATTCAAATCCAATTACGGTGAATGCTATTTGCATGAGTTACTGTTTTAGCAGTGGATCTGTTCCAAAGACTTTTGTCAGAAGAGCTTTTTCTGAACGAAATGCAAGTTTCCTGGCTTTTTAATTCTGTGCCTATTGAGTAGTCATTTGTCATGCTAAAATGACATTTAGCATAGTTAAATGTAACTCAGTATAATGCTGTATAGCAGTTTGACTCAGCACCTATGTACCTTCAGTACATAGTTGTCAGTCATGAAGTTTAAATGTGAACTTTTATTGCCAGAAACCCCTTTACCTCCATGCTGCTGTGATCACCTCTGAAACGCTCAAAACTTCAGCAGACATAATAAAGTTGAGATGACTGCATCTCACCACACACATACATACAATCCCACACTGAGTCATGAGGGAATGATGGTTTTATATACAGAGGTGGCTCACCTCCTGAGTCTGGATCCATAATTTGGTGCAGCAGTGCAGATCCTCTGCTGTGGTCTGTCAGGTAGGGCAGAAAACCAGCCCTGGTTTCTACACACAGGTCAGAGAGCAGCCTGGGTACTTTGCACACCGCACTCCTTCTCTCAGCATCCTATTACCCCAGCTAGCTGACAGAGCAGGGGTCAAAGATGAGTTCAGGAGGACTGAAAATAAGTAGTCTTCTGGTCTTGCTGGTTGTATCGCACTCTCCTCAGAGCACCCATGTAGTTTCTCTTATATTTTTAATGTTGGCACATGTTTAAAGTTCAAATAGAATGAATGTACTCTGAGTAATTAGGTTAATTATAGTATGACAGTTCCATTATTTCTATTCCTGTTAAAATACTACTGTAATGTTTAAGTCAGAACACCAGTTGGTCCTTTCTGACAAAGTTTGCATAAATATCAGATATCCCAAGGCCAATAGATGAATTGTAAAACGTGTAGCTACAGTCTGTCTGTCATGTGCAATGTCTCTATCTGGCTGGCCTGAGGGTGGGTGGGTGCTACGTCATCTGTTCGCACATAATGTGACATTCACAATGCACCACTGGTCAGATTTTAACAAACATTCTGACCAGCTGACCACTGCATTGAAGAATTCAAATTTAAAGCACGTCACAAGTTAAAACTACAGTTAGAGCTCTTTGTTGCCTGTGTTTGTTAATATATTTAGTTTTAACTTTATTTTGTTTGTATGAGCTGTAATAACATAATTCCTGCGTCTTGTGTGTGCAGCCATCTCCAGATTTAAACAGATAAAATGTTTTATATCCGATAAAGATGGAATTATATTGCTATATTGCTTCATGGCGAGGCGAGGAGTGGAGCATGTCTCGCTTTTTCTATTTGTAAGCATTATACACTTTTATGGTACTGAATTGTTGTCGGGTTGCAATTCCTCAGGACTGTTTCAATTTTACCTCTGCTATCGAGGCAGGTGAATTGCAGGCAGACGGATAGCGAAATAGGGCCACTCCGAAAAGAACATTGGCTGTTTTAAAGGGCTTATTTAAAGTATTAGGAGGTCTCACTCTGGGAAAGATTGAACGGGTTTGAAATGGCAAGGCCTTGCAGTTTCATGGATTCATTATAACAGGCGGCACAACAGGGTGTACTGAAATAGGAGCGGTAGATGTGTGTGCGTGCGTGCATTTATGTTACAGAGATGTCCTGGGGGCTTTACTCTAAAATGGAAAACCTGCCTGGCTCACTTCCCCTCCTTCCGTTGTTATTGCTGCAGCTCATCACAATATCTTATGTGCAATATGAGTTGTGACTTGAAACAGGAATTTAATACTTTAAGACTCTCATTTTTATTGCTCTAATTTAATCAGCTCCCAGCCTCCATCAGGGAGTTTTAAGTCGATAGAGCAAACAGTTCTTCTTGTGCTGCAAGCCCACCGTGAATAACTTATCCGTGAAGTTACCTCAAGCAAGGCATCATAGTGCTGGAGTGGAGTGGCCAACAGTGTAACATAATATTTAGAATGGGCATTTCCCAGATGAAGGTTTGTGTAACCACTGCCCTCCCCTAAGGCATCACTGTGAAAAACAAGGTATTCTTAGTCCACGTTACTGGGTAAATAACGGTTAAGTAAATACCCAGATCTCACTTTAATTAATCTTAACTGTTTTCAAACAGGCCCTGCAGCGTTTGCACTGGAATGTCATCTGACCACGAGTTTTCAAACATTATTTTCTTTGATTCTATTTATTTAATATTTAATTTAATTTTCTTTATTCATATTTGACTCTACTTCGACTCCCTTGTGCGTTTGACGCTTGCATGTGTTTTAACCCCTTATAGTATTTTATTTGGCAAGGTTACTTAGAAACATATTCGTATTTATAGCACAGGTGTGGGAGCATATAGCTGCAGGAGAGGTTAAAGGTCACATACACACAAACCCATTTGGGAGCTGCCCACTGTGTTAAAGTCTGAGAGCAGCTCCACTGGAACAGTTGCAGAGTCGGTGTCTCACTGAAGGGCATATTGAGGATAGTTGGTTACGGAGGGGAAAGTGTAGTTCATTGAATGCCGCACTCAGACTTTTGCAGCCAGTCTGAGGATTTAATCTCGCCACCTTCGAATCACTGACGTTTTTTTTTTTTTTCCCTCCATTTTTTGGAACTTTTAATATCACAATTAAAATTGTTTTCAATTGTTGATTAATAAATCATTAAGTCCACCAGGCCCATTTAAAAGCCATTTGACCAGAAGGATGGGAGACACTTGGAGAGCCGGGAAATAAGATAATGAAAGGCCAGTGCTGTAAGGAGATATTTCTCATAACAATAACTTTTTTTTCTTCTGCCCTACCAGACTTTGACTTCAGCGTACCAGGCTCCATGAAGCTTCACAACTTGATCTCCAAGCTGAAGAAGTGGATCAAGATCCTGGAGGCCAAGACCAAGCAGCTGCCCAAGTTTTTCCTCATTGAGGAGAAGTGTCGATTCCTCAGCAACTTCTCTGCACAGACGGCAGAAGTAGAGATCCCCGGGGAGTTCCTCATGCCCAAACCGACGCATTATTACATCAAGATCGCAAGGTAAAGGACTCTTCTACAGAAGGCCTAGTAAACAGGATGTTATACAACACTAGTTTTGAGCCAAATGCTTGGAATGAATGTAAGAGATTTAGAGCTTCTGCTGTCTATGTATAAAATATACATGAAGTCACACAGGAGAGTCGTAGCCACATATTATTCCTCCCACATTGTTTGTTACATCGGTTCTGTCTCTCTGTACCTCTCTCCAGGTTCATGCCCAGAGTGGAAATAGTTCAGAAACACAACACAGCAGCACGTCGTCTCTATATTCGCGGCCACAATGGCAAGATCTACCCTTACCTGGTGATGAACGACGCTTGTCTGACCGAGTCACGCCGAGAGGAGAGGGTCCTGCAGCTTCTGCGCCTCCTCAACCCCTGTCTGGAGAAGAGGAAGGAGACCACCAAGAGACACCTCTTCTTCACTGGTAGGACCACTGATAAGAAAGATGGGTGCCTGGGTGCAGAGGTTCAAGCATACAGGAACTAGGGATGAAATTGTACCAAGATGATGCTGTGTGTGGGTTGTTTCTGTTAGTTGTCATCATCTATCCCTGCATGAGTTTTTACATGTATTTGGTCATCCCAGATCCAATCAGAAACACATGGTCACCCCTAGTTCTACTGTACGCTGAGAACAATTGCCACTGACCCTCTCCTTTCGTTTGTCTTCTTTTTCTGTCTTACTCACACACCACACACACAATTTCAATTTGCTTTCAAGTGCTATTTCCTCTCCTGTAGTCCCCTTGTGGTTTGCCTCCACCCAGATGTTTGCCCGCTTTCCATTTATGCACTTGATTGGTTTGTTTAAGGGGAAATATGGACAGGGAATTCAACAGTCCCTTCCAACCCATTTCCTCCCAACTGGAATGGCTGGTATTGAATTGATTTGGGGTGCCAGTGTATGCAAATGTTTAGACTGCTTTCACTGTGCGACCAATGCGCAGCCTCTTGTCTCCTACGACTTGTGTAGGACTTGGTGTTAAGCGATGGCACGCCTTCAGTGCAGCTGTTTCCCCTCTCTGAAGCATTTAAGTTGTAGGTTTAGATCTGTGGTCTACACTGTTGTAAAACAGGGACTGTTTGCTTGCTTGTGTGTCACTGACGTGGTTATTTTCCTACTACCACTCCGTCTTTTTTCTTCCCCCTTCTCTCCCCTCCTTATCCCTTTCCCATCTGTATCCTGTCTTCCTCCTCTCCCTCCCTCCATATCTCCAGTACCCCGAGTGGTGGCAGTGTCGCCTCAGATGCGGCTGGTAGAGGACAACCCTTCATCTCTGTCACTGGTGGAAATCTACAAACAACGCTGTGCCAAAAAGGGCATCGAACATGACAACCCCATTTCCAGATATTATGACCGTCTGGCCACTGTGCAGGCCAGAGGCACACAAGCCAGCCACCAGGTATGAAGAAGATCATATCCACACATCTGCATACATACACACATATTACAGCTATGACCAGCTTTAATTCCCTACATTGATATGCATCCTGGCTGATTGAATTATAATTGGCAGTAGCTAACAGTAATTAATTAACAGTATCTTCAAGCAGCCATACTATGGATACCTCCAAAATGTCAGCTTTTCGTGAGCTAAGAAAAATAGCCTTACGACATTCAAATTAGTTTTATGTGATTTATTTATTTAAGATATAGGGGAATTTTATCAACCTATAAAGGAACACTTCAGTTAATTTGAAATATTAAAAATAACCAAATTTGAATGTTCATGGTTTTGGATGGGGATGATTTTCTGATTAGGGGCTTTGTCTGTGGTGAAAACGTTATTTTCAAGCTAATATATCAACCAGTCAACAGATAATAGATGTGCTCTTCCTGAATTCACTTCTAGCTGTGTTGTTCTAGCGGTTTTGCTTCAAGATGGCAAAGTGTTAAATTATGCTGTCTGTTCCTGGGGACTGATTATCACCTAAACTATCTATCAAAAAGAATAAATTGTCCAACCAGGCTCGTTTCTTAATTTTAATGTGTTTAGTGGCCGCATTGTATTTTGTTAAGGCTCTTTTTGGTGAAGAAATTGTTTCTCCACCTCATCTTTGCACTTCTGACATTTCTTGTTGATATTTTAGATAGCTGTAAAATGATGTGCACTCAGGTCATTTACTTTTGGTCAACAACTGTGAATCCTATCTATTTGGCAGTAAAGTTAAAGAAGGCGGACCGTTGTGTTAAATAAAGTAGAACATTGACACAAGGCCCAATATTTCTTTGGACCACGTCTGCCTACCCTAACCTCTACCCCCACTCCTGTCTACTTCCAGGTCCTGCGGGACATCCTGAAGGAGGTGCAGGGGAACATGGTCCCTCGCAGCATGCTGAAGGAGTGGGCTCTCCACACCTTCCCCAATGCCACCGATTACTGGACCTTCCGTAAGATGTTCACCATCCAGCTGGCCCTCATAGGTCTGGCCGAGTTCATGCTCCATCTCAACAGGCTGAACCCCGAGATGCTGCAGATAGCACAGGTAGGAGAAACATACACAAGGAAGAAAACATGTTGGACTTTCTGTCAAGGGCAAGTGGGCACCGTGTGACAGGGGCTAATTCAATAGATACACACTCTCATAGATGCATTAAGAGATCACCATTACCCTCCCCATATCTAGCCGTATGAATTACTATTCTCCCCCATGACATTCACGCTACGCCTATCAGTCAGCCAGCCGCTGTCAATGCGAAGGATGTTTTGACAGAACGTTATATTCATTCCCTCTGCTCTACAGCTATCAAAGACGTTTCAATTTGAAGAGGCCGTGTTTGTGCGTGCGTGCGTGCGTCCGCCACTCAGTCCACACACACACATCCGTTTGGTGCTTGGGGTCTGCAGACAGCTTTCTCAAAGTCATTATTAAAGATGATTGTGTCAGTCGGCCACCCCTCCCCTCTGATCCTAATCGGCCTTTGCTGACAGGCGTTCCTCCGGGCAGCTAAGCACTGGTATTAAGCCCCCTCTCTGCCTGTTCCACTCCGCAGATCCCATTAGACACAGGAGGATTACGGTACGGAGAGTGTACACACACACACACAAACAGACAGCGAGTACAAGGACAGGACATCACAGCCATAGCATTGTGCCCCACCCTGCCTAAATAGAGACCTTAAGTTCCTTCAAGTTAATGCTTAGAGAGCCCAGTGATGCTTCAAGAAATCAACACAAATAAGGCACTGCTTTGTGACATTCATCAGGGCCTTAATTCAATGATAGACTTAATTACACCATAAAACACCGGTCTTCATAAGGCGTTTTCTTGAGAATCTGACAATCTCCTTTGATATCATTGACATTTGTTCTGAAAACACCCAGTACCTGTCATTTCTCACACACTAGTCACTACATGTGACACTCTAATGTAGCGTCACCACACTCGCACCAGCCCAAAAATGAAGCCAAATCACTGACCGCTGGCGTGGTGATTTAGCATTCTGAGAGCTGCCTCCACAGCCAACCGTCTGTGGGCTTATCTTAGCCTCCTGGGGGTTGCTGGTGTCTCAGCCCACTGCCTTGAGGCCCTCCGCTGGGGGCTGGAGGAGCAAATGACAGCAGGAGAGGGAGACGGGAGGGGAGGGAATTAAGGAGAAGGAGGGAAAGAGGCGAGACAGAGGAGGAGAGGGAGCACGAGCTGGAATGAAATGCTCTGCTATAAAGCTGTCAGAGCCACTCACCTTTTCATATAAGGGAGCTTATCTTCCCCAGAATGGCTGCTTGTGTAGCGGTCCTCTCGCACATAAATGCAGGCTTATGGATGGAAACTCAGCTGTATATATTTAAGTCAGTGGGGAGTGAGGGGGGAGAGGGGAGTGGGAGTGAATTGAGGATTATAGATGTTCTGCTGCTGATAGTTTGACGTGTTACGGTGTCTGGGGCACGCAGATCAATAACTGCAGCCATTTCGTTGGTGTGAGCTTGTTTTGTAACTCCCCTAGCCTTTCTGAAGAAGAGTTATTTTCTTACAGGACTGTGGAGAACACTGCAGAAAGGAATATTCATAGATGATGTTGTTTATTTGCTAGTGGTTATGAGCAGTGAACAATAAACAATGCTTTATTTAAAACATCCTCCCTCTTACACTCGTATACATAGAGTATACCTCACATATACACACTTGTCTGACTTGTTTACCTTTATACTCTTTTTTTCAGGACACAGGAAAGCTGAATGTCTCATACTTCCGCTTCGACATCAACGACGCCACAGGCGACCTGGATGCTAATCGCCCCGTTCCGTTCCGCCTGACGCCAAACATCTCTGAGTTCCTGACCACCATCGGTGTCTCTGGCCCACTCACTGCCTCCATGATTGCTGTGGCACGATGCTTCGCACAGCCAAACTTTAAGGTAACTTGTCCGCAAGCACTGGTCTCCTCTAAAAATAGTTACATTGTTGATCCTATTTTTACAATCCTGGTGATCCGTTCCACGATTGTAAAAAATACCACAGTCTTCTATTTATGTTCTTTTACGCTCTTTTACACAGAAATGGGTCATAAAGTGTCTATATTTTTTGATAAAGAGATTGAAATAGCAGACTGAATGACAGCAGACTGTAGTCTGTAGATGTTAACTAACCCATATTAAACAAACCTGGTGAGAAGTTGAAGTTTCAGCTGTGATGGGTTGAAAAATGACACTTGCTCAACTTGACCCAAATGACAGGAGTTTTGGAAATGTATTTAAGATATGAGGTTCAAATCAGCTGGCAGTGTCAGTGCAGGTTTGTTGTCAAATTTAAGCTCCTGCGAAATTCTCCAGGTATTGTTTTGCACCTAAACTTGGATAAACCCAGAGAGGAAGTTCCCCGAGGCACAACCAAACAAAAACAATGCAATGAAAGCACGAGCAGTCAGGGGGTTGTACAAAGTATCCGCAGCAGGGCAGTAATGACAGGCGTGTGGTGTCTATGTATAGGCCTGGCTCTTACTTATAAGTCTGACTGATGTGGAGGGAGCAGGAGTGCTTAAGATGCAAATAAACAAAACCCTCGACTATGTGAACTAGTAAAGGCAGAGTGCCAGAGGCCAGTGCTTCTTGTGGTCCAAGAAAATGGACGTTCCCAGGCAAAACAACCAAACACAACAAACACGTAACAATCATCCACTCAAATATATTGAAGCCTGAAACCATATAAACACTTTAGGTAAGGGTGGGGAACACTTTGTACCTAGTTGGGTGATGATTGCTAGTGTTGTGGCCCCGTCATGGTTTCACTGGTTTTGCATTTCAGTTCTGTGGCTCCATAACGGGCTCCTAACAAGAGAGAGAGAGATTTCCCTCAGGATGATTGACACATTCTTAATTGAGCTTAACAGCTTTGTTTTGTGTGTATGTTTGAGATTGGCAATGACTTTATATAAACTGAGGTTTTATTATTGCTCTCCTTCCCATGATGGAGACTTTGAACACATGGCTTAGGACGGTCTACCCAGAAGGTTGGCACGGTCAGTGTATATAAACAGAATTCCTTTGGCACATAATTGAGAACTTCAAGTAGATGCAACAGTTATCAAATTAGCGAGGAATCTCATAAACAACTGTAATGTGTTAGCAACCACCCACAGTATATCATATTGTTATACTGCAGTGCTGTGGAACGGTTTGTAGACCACTTCAGTTTTTGCATAATTTGTTACAACACAAAGCACTGTGTAAAGAGGGCTGGGCAGTCTTTGTTGAAATGTATGAAAATCTGACCAAAAGCAGCGTTAACAAAAGGTCAATTTACACGCTTTTTCTGCCGCTTTCAACCACATCTTTTGGTCTTTGATGGAGTTTATTTAATTGGGGGAAAATCATAATCCCTGTCTATGTTCAAAGATGATCTTTGACGCCAAAGATCATCTCCATCTGCAGAAGAAGACCGTGAGATGTAGCTGAAAGCTCTAGACAAAGCAAGTAAATAGCGTGAGCCTTTTTTTTTTCCCCCCAAGAATGAAATGGAATTATTTTCATATTGTATTGTTGTCAAAACTGTAAGGTAAATAAAGTCAATTAATTAAGTTAATTTATTTTCCAGATTAATCAAGATGGCACAAAAACATCCAGTATGTTTTATTGTACATGTTTCTACAGCGTTAATTCTTAAACTCTCTATTTCCTGTCTCTGATAGGTTGATGGCATCCTGAAGGCAGTGCTTCGCGATGAGATCATTGCCTGGCACAAGAAGACCCAAGAGGACACGTCCATGCCTCTGTCCCCAGCCGGCCAACCGGAAAACATGGACTCCCAGCAGCTGGTCTCATTGGTCCAGAAGGCCGTCACCGCCATCATGACCCGCCTCCATAACCTGGCTCAGTTCGAGGGAGGAGAGAGTAAGGTCAACACCCTGGTGGCTGCAGCAAACAGCCTGGACAATCTGTGTCGCATGGACCCTGCCTGGCACCCCTGGCTCTGAGAAACCAGATGTGACACAGCAGAGGAGGAGGAAGTGAGATACAGGGCAAGAAAATGCGTTTTTGTTTACTTTTGTTACGTGTCTGACAAGCACGGACAAGGGTTGTTAAATGTATATTTCTCTTCACTGCAACAGAAGCCCGGTGGACTCCTTTTCCTCTTGATCAAAGTACACTGAACCAGTGAGCTAAGTGGAATCAAATCGAAACAAAGGTCCTGACTGTCACAGTTTGAGAAGGGCTTGCCAGTATTCTTAATAGTTATAACTGGACTGATAGAATCTTTTTATGAAAACAGTTTCTCCTTCTACTTATATTTATTTTTATAACTGAATGACAGGGACTGTATGTGTGATGCCAGTTGCCGTGTCTTCAATATGACAAGGAGAAATATTTGTGTAGGTGTCATTATGAGCCCCTCACTCAAGCTAATGGGAGTTTTTTTATTTAAGAGGTGGGGAAATCTGTTGTTTGCTTTAGCTGTGTCTGTGTTATATTTCGCCTGCATCAAGAGCTTACAATTTTTCCACTATGATTTTCCCCCATAAAATAGCCATTAGTCCTCTCAGATGTGTATTGGTATTTAAACTGATAAACGTGTAGATTCCTTTCTATCCCTGCCGAATGAGGAATGTTATGATCCTGTGAATAACAGAGGATGCTCTTTCATTTTTTTTTTACCCACTGCCTGAACTGTATTAACATGTCTGACTGTTTCAAAAGCCATTTTACTTTACAATTGTTTTATCTTTCCATCAGTCCTGTTGTAATGTAACAAAAGTCAACTACTGGGCGAAAACACAGTGTCATAAGCTAAAACAGCTTTAATGCAAATATGTCATTCCAAGCTGGCTGTGTATGAATAGTCCTCTTCTCTTTTTGTAAAGGTACAATGCCTTTTCCACCAGATGTATTATCTCTTGCTTTGTAAATAAGCATTTTGTTTTAATAAAATGCTCTTTTTTAATACATAAGCTGTGTTGGCTCTTAAACGGTAACCTGCTGATTCCTTTTTTACGCTGTGCATTAGGACAATTTTACCCAATGAATCTCAGAAATGAGTTTCAGCTATGCTCACAATTACCATTAAGCAAAACTTACATTTGTTTTTTTATTTTTATTTTTTCAGTTTTTTACACAATTGTAAAACAGCAATAATAACCAGTAATCCCCATCTGTGCCTCACATCTACTGCATCACTGTCACAGCCATAATCACCCTGAAGGACGCACTCTTGGATATTATTGCAGCAATAACTCATGCTGTGAAATGACTCCAGACGAACCATTCTCTGATGTTAAAAAGTCTATTGCTATCATCCTTGCGGTTCACAGTTAGTAGACATTTATGGAGAGGCATTTCAGCGCAGCAGTGTTGAATCAAAGTGCTGCTCTGTCTCGCGGAGGTACAATAACCTTGTGGTCATTCCCTCCCTCTAGTTAGAAAGTCCTGCGGAGGTGTGTTGAGGCGTTTCTCTCCTCCCCTGGCGCTTGATTAATGCGTGCCAGTAGATCTCCGAGTGGGCTGGCCTCGCTTGACTTATACACACTGTCAGCCAGCCCGCCTGCACTCATAAACAAAGGTTATATCTCTGTTTGCCTCTATACAATCCACATACACAGCCTCTGCTCTCAACATGTTTACACACTGTCTCCAACATTTCTCTTCCTCTCTGATCCACACGAAGGGTCTCAGCAGCTCCGAGTTTCCAACATTAACTTCCTAGTTTTATAAATTTTCTACTTGGGCTCCTAGTAAACATGTACATTTGCATGTGTTTTCAGTAAGTTTTCAAGAGGCTGCAGTGTTTTTATTGGGTGCTTAACTGTGCACATGTAGGAAATACCTTGACAGATTGTTTTTTTTCCATCTCACATTTCCCTTCATTCTGGGTGGAAATGTTTAGAAGAGAATTCAAGTTGCCTGGCTTTAGGAAAACGGTGAGTCATGTCAGTTTACAACATCTGACTCATTTTAGGCTTTTGTATATCATTGTAAGATACTCCTTCATGTCAATCAGTACAAACCATGCTGTGAGGGGAAAAGGTGGAGAGTACTCTTGATTAAAACACCAAAAACTTAACTGGACTGATAAAAGGCCATATTTCAACCCTACTGGGTCTTCATTTGGAGGACAAATTACAAAGTATATGGACAAAAGTGATTGCATTCTGCTGACATCATAGTCAAGTTACATCATGAGTCATTGAAAAACTTGCACAAAGGTTATAGAAATCACAAAACATTTGACTGTATATATACACAGTAGTGGTCTTATACTACTCCTGGTCCTCCTTGTATGCAACTTATACAAATATCATGTAGAAACTTGAAGACACCAGTGCTCATACACTGAGAATGGACTTGGAAGTAGAAGAGACATCTTGTGTCCAGCAGGAAAACTTTAGAATTATTATTTATTTTTTTTGCATATTCATAGATTATGAAATTTTTAATGAGGTGGAAGTGCTAGATGTCTTTTTAATGATTTTAATGTGAAAATTATACTTTTCGGTGAAAAAAAACCCCCAAACATATCAGACACACATAATGTCCCAGGAAGAGTATTTTTATTCTGTCTTTAATATTACTGGAGGGAATCTTTTAGTAATCCCATAAATCATATATCATCTGGGGAACATGAATGTCTGTACCAAATTTCATGCCAATCCATCCAATAATTGTTGAGGTAAATCGGTCCAGAACAAAGTGGTGGACAATCAGACTGACCGACTGTCACTGCCATCCATAGAGGGGTCGTATGGAATCCACTAAGGTTTAAATTGTAGGGTTCAGTGTTTGCATACTCTAGATTTTCATTGAATCTGTAATCCTGCACAGGGCCTTAATATAAGACTGACTAGAAGCCACTCTCTCAGTTCTTTGAATGGCAATATTTACTGAAATGGAAATGTGAAGAACTTTGCAACCTTTTAGCTGAATAATTTCTCATTTCTGAGGTGCTTGACATCAAAATGAATAATCATTTTACTGACTTGGCTGACCAGCCTGTTCCTGGATGCATCACTTCCCCTGAGCACACACACAGTGTCACACTGGTATCAACAGTAGTCAGGCTGACCCCATGACCTGGAACCAAAACAAGGAATGGTAGTCATGTTAAGAGGCCAAAGCATGATAGAGGGATTTAGTTTCTCAGAGACAGACACACATCCAATGTGTTTTGTTCAGATTTCTTTTGAAGGATTGTGCTTGAAGTTCTGGATGCCCTCTGTTGGGACAGACATCCATTTCACGCCCCAGGTGTCTGTTCCGATTTGAGAGGGATTAGGTGAAATATGAAATCCACAACAGCAGAACACACACACACACACACACACACACGCACATACAACCTCCCTCAAAGATATGTCATAACTTGCCTTCTGGGGTCTTTTCTGGGCATCCTGTGACTGCAGACATATCACAGGAGCAAAGGTGTCGGCTGCAGCGACCCCACCTCTTTCTCCTCCTTTTCTTTTCCTTTCTCTCTACCTGTTATTAGCAAAGTGGAGGCGAAGGCTTCGCCACCCCCACATCTCCCTACCTCCCTCTTTGGTGGTGTGAGAGGAGTGGAGGTGATTGATGTGCTCCGGTGGGAGTGGAGGTGTAGAGCCTGGATCATCATCAGCCCTGGCAGAGAGCAGAGATCTCAAAGGACACACCAAAGCAGGAATAGATCCTGGCAGGGCCAGATGATGAAATCTTCCCCCTCCAATGATCCTCATCCCCGCAGAGGATGGCTGAGAGGGAAGGAGGAGGAGGAGGTGGAGGAGGAAGGGCTTAAGGGAGGAGTGGAGGGGGGAGACTTTTTCAGAAACTGTCTGTTTACTTTATGTGGCAACTAAGCTGTCATATTTCTCAAGAGACGCATTTGGATACAGTGTAATAAAAACTTACAGTAGACACAAAGTTGAGCGTGAAGAGAACAGAGGTGAAAAAGTACTTTACCAGCACCCTAATCTACTTCTTTCCCCTCTCACAATTCATCATTCAAGACCAGGATGCCACCAACTCTTTTTTACAGCCAGCATCCAATTATATATCACATTGTATGAGGCGTCGTATCGCAGTAGGGGGAGACGCTTTCTTTGTATTTTCATGTAAACAAACAGTATTAATCAAATAACAAGTGTGTGTTGATCTCTAGCCCGGGAAGCAGCACATCTCATATCTAGCAGCTGAGGATTTGTTTTGTTACTCAGTGAAGGAGTCCCATTAAGACTTCTAATGGCATTTCCACTCAGAGGAGTTGAGCTCATTAGTTTGGTGTCTAAAATCTGCCATTATGATTTTAATTGCCCAAGCTGTACACAGCAGTATGGGACGCAATCAAAGTCACATTTTTTTTCTTGGTGTGAGGGATGCAGCAGCACATCAACAACTCACACGCTGACTTAAATATGTACTGACACACTTTGTACAGAAGGACAGCGCAGGGGGTTGGAGTGATAAGGGCCTCAAAACTTTAAATGATTTGATATTCAGTTCAGCTCAAAATTGAATTTTTTGGGGGGGCTATTTATTTGATAGAGCTTGTTAAATACTGCATACTGTATTTCCTAGTATATTTTTAAATCAAACAAAGCATCCGCCATGAGCGAGATATGACTTTGTAGATTGTAATGCAGTTGCACTCCAGGAAACCTTCTGGCATATTTTGTGTCATATTTTGGGAAATATACTCATTTGCTTTTTGGCAAAGAGCGTGATGAAAAGATTGATGCTGCTTTCATTTCTGTAAATTAGCTTAGCTTAGTATAAAGACGGGAAAGGGGGAAAACAGCTGACCTAGCTCTGTCTGAAAGTAATATTATTGCACGGTAGCATTAGCTCACTTACTAACTTTTACAGATAAAACAAACAAGATATAATGTGTTTAAACCCTGAACTTTAGAGGCACTAGTATCCAAATTTTGTTGCATTTGGTGAGTGAGGCTAGCTGTTTCCTGTCCTTATGCTAAACTAAGCTAACCTAAGCTAACTGGCTGCTAGTTGTTGCGTCATATAAATTGAGCAGGTGTGAGTGGTTTCTATCTTCTGGCTGCTAAAAGTATTCCCTAAAATGTCAGACTATAGACCTTTTTTTTTCACAGCAGCCATTATGACATAAAAATAGTGGGGTAAACAGGTGTTACCAATGAAACTAATTAAGGTTTTATTCCATTCAGGTCAAACAGAGTCAGGCTGCTGCTATTGTGCATGTTGGCTCACTGGAAAGGCTCTGTTACACTAAATGGAACAGAACCTTAATAAGTCTAATAATGCACCCAACTTAAGGTCCATTATTTCAGCTGTACTGTAGATAAATGCTGTACTGTATACTCCATTTTTCTGAGCAGTTAATCCAGCCCTCCCTTTAGAGTTGTGAAGTGAAAGGAGCTATTTTAGCCGTCACCTGTCCAAAAGTCCCATTCATTTTCCCATAGACAACGTTACATGACTCACAGTTGGAGTACTTTGTCTTAAGATGAAACTTGGTACAAAAGATTAACAACTGTGTTAGAAAATGTAATTCTTTTAAAATAAAAAGTTGAGGATACAAGCCTGTATACATACAAACTTTGAGGTAGAAGTTGACCACAACTCCCAAGATGCTGCACTCTAATTTGTGCCACTGACCGGCTCCTTCTTCATAGCAATGTCAGACAAGGCATTCACTACATTATCCAAGAGCCTGCTGTGTGTCTGTGTAAAATCTGAGTAACATTGAGAATATTATATATTATACATTTTTAATTGGCAGTACAGAATGGGGTAAACTCCTCTGGAATATGAGGCTCCTCCCACGTCGCAACTCCATTGGACAACCTGGGTTGATGATGTCATCAAATGGTTAAACTGAAGTGAGGGTGAAACGACGGCGACATCATTCTTCTTCATTGTTGTGTATTGCCAGTTAGCAACATCAGCAGTACTGTAGTGTGGAGCAGTAGAGTGTGATTAATTAT